GGGGTGTTTGGGGGGGGGGGGGGCTCTTCCCCTCGGCACAAGGAGGGTCCTGCGATGGGATGCTTGGGCCAAGCTGGGAAATCTGATTTTTCTGGGACATTCAGCAAGTGTCCCAAACAGGACCCATTTTTGCCTCACCCCCCCCACTAAGAAAAGACTCTCCGGCCCAATTTTGGGTTGAAAAAGTGAGAATTCAGCTAAAAAATAAATAAGGGCTCTGCCACGCTCTGGTATTCGAATCACGTAGCCCCGAGCCCAGCGTTCCCGCTTCCAAGAAATATTAATCTAAATTACTATTAATAAGGGACAGCTACAAGTTAATTGGCATTAAAATAATTCATTTCAATTTGTTAATATTAAATGAGCAGATCGCGCCTTCGCTTCGGACGCGCCTGCGATGGGAGGGGAGGAGGGGGGTCCTGGCCGTGGGACCCCCAAAACCGCTCGTGGGAATTCCCGATGCTGGAGCATCGCTGGGTGCAGGATCCTGCTTTTCCCCTTCTATTTTTCCCCCCTTTTTTTCCAGCTTTCCCAGGAAAACATCCCCCCCTCCACCAAGCATCAAGGCCTCTGCTCCCACCCCACGCGATTCCCCCCCCGGTAGAGCCTCACCGGCCGCTCCAGCACCCACACAAATATTTACACCCTCGTATCCCACTATTGATTTTATGGAAAACCGCTCCGCCACTGGAATTCATTAGGTTTGAGTTACCCCGCTCCTCGGCTGGGTAAAAAGCCCTCTCGTCTCCCATCTGTTTGCATCCCGCGGAGCTAAACAGAGCAAAAAAAAAGCAATTTGATTAATATTTACAGGGCTCCGGCGCCTGCATCCGCACGGCAGCTCGCTCCGGGTGCGGATGGGGCCGAGCAGCGGGGAAAAAGAGGGAAAAAAGGTGGGAAAAGGGTTTATTTTTTTGCATCACTGGATATTGGGAGTTAATATCTTTTAAGGGGTGTTGGGGAGACGGTGGTTCCGCTCTGAGCCTGAGCATCCCCTTTTTGTTGGAAAAAAGCCTTGGGGGGGATGTGGTGCTGATCCCACTCTTTTTTGGGGATGGGAAGGGTGAAGGCAGGAGGATGAGGGGGGCCACCCAAGGGTGCTGGGGCAGGGGCTGCCTCTGCGCTGCTGCCGAGCTTCCCACTGCACCCCCAAAACGCAGTTGCATCTTCAAAATGCAGTCACCCCCCCCAGCTTGCAGTTGCACCCCCCAACTTGCAATCGCATCCCCCAAATTGCAGTTGCCTCCCCCTAAAAGCAATTGCATCTCCAAAGTGCACTCGCGTCCCCCAAATTGCAACTGCAGTCCCCAAACTGCAGCCCCCAAAGTGCAGTCACATCCCCCAGATTGCCATTGCAGCCCCCAAATTGCAGTTGCATCCCCCCCCCCCCAGCTTGCAGTTGCACCCCCCAACTTGCAATCGCATCCCCCAAATTGCAGTTGCCTCCCCCTAAAAGCAATTGCATCTCCAAAGTGCACTCGCGTCCCCCAAATTGCAACTGCAGTCCCCAAACTGCAGCCCCCAAAGTGCAGTCACATCCCCCAGATTGCCATTGCAGCCCCCAAATTGCAGTTGCATCCCCCAAAGTGCAGCTGCATCCCACAGATTGCCATTGCATCCCCCAAATTGCATCCCCAGATTGCAAAAGCATCCCCCCAGATTGCAAAAGCATCCCCCAGATTGCAGTTGCATCCCCCAAATTGCAACCTGGGGCAGCTCTAACCCCCAGCAATGCTCTGCGGTGGGCTCTGTTGATGCATTTCCCTTTGCTGGTGCAGAGGCCAGGGGCTGCAGGGGTGGGAAGGGAATGGGGTTTTGCCTCTCCCTATGTGGTCCCGGCACCACTGCACCTGGCTGGGCTGCGGCTCCCCGAAGGGAAATCACCGCCTTGGCGGGAGCTGCGAGGCGAGGGAGCGAGGAGATGATTGCGGAGGCTGCAGGGGCCGAGATCAGAGGTGGAAAGAGCCGGGCGTGCGGCAAGGGCAGGGGTTCGGCTGCTGGAGAACAGGTCGGAGCATCTCTCTGCCTTGTTGGAGCATCCCACTGCCCCATCGGAGCATGCCACCACCTCGCCGGAGCATCCCACCACCTTGTTGGAGCATCCCACCACCTCGCCGCAGCATCCCACCGCCACAGCCCAACCGAGGACCTGGGTGGGAGATGCCAGAATTGGGAGGGGATGTGGGACGGGGGGAGGAGCCATGCACCCCCTTGGCAAAGCAGGTTTTTAGGGAGGAACAGCTCAAATATAACTCAGCAATGGATGCCTGAAAACACCTTTTCCACAAAAAAAACCCAACCAAAATACCCCATTCAAGGCTCCAACATCCCTCCAAACTCCCGGACGGCAGCATCCCAGCCCCTGCCCCACAGATGGGGTTGCACCCTCACCAGAGCCAATTCCCTCCCCTGCAAACGGTCCATGGGGTCGCAGGGGGGTACAAACCCTCTGTGGAGAGGTCTGGGGTGCCCCTTGCCCCCCGAAATCCCCGTGGCCGGGCTCCCGGCGTGAGTTACGGCAGCGCTTCCCCGATCGCTCCCCTCCTGCCTTTGCATAACTCACGGCGCTTGGCACCGGGCTCTTTAGGAGAAGGATGCTCTGGTCAGCCGCAATAATAAATAGATAAATAAACCCCTGGAAAGTCTCCGGCTGGCCGCTTAAATACATTTTATGGGGTGATTAGAACAAGAGCCGTCCGTTTGAGTGGTTTATTTGTAGCCTCTCTTTGCGCCGGCGAAGGTGTTGGAAGCATTTCTCGTCCTCGTTTGGCACTGGGGGCTCGATGGGCACCACAGCCCCCAGCAAATAGCACCTTCCCCACCCAAAACTCTTGGGTTTTTTTGCTTTCTGAGCCGGGGAACTGCTGGGGAGGAAAGCAAGAGCATCTGGGGGGCTGAGCATGTGAAATAAATGAACATATTCTCCCCGTCTCCAAAAAATATCTGTTGCAATATCTATTTTCACTCATAACCAGTTCATTTTAGGATGCAAAAATTACACCAACATGCCCTGATGTCTTTGCTCCCCCGAGAGATGATGGTTTGGGGGGTTCAAGGCAGAAAAAACCCGCCCACCCGCAGACCTGGAGCCAGCCGCCTTCCCAGTGCGGCTCCATTACCCCTAAACCATCCTCGACGAATGGGTCCCCCGCCGGGAGCATCTCCCCTGCCCGCACCCCCCAAACAGCTTCCAGCCGCCTGTTCCTCCCTCTCAACAGCCCTCCCAGCGCCGAAGTCACGCCTAATGTTTCACTTAATTTTTCCCCGCTGCAGCATCAGTCCCCGCTCCTCTCGCGCTTCCCAGTTGCTAATGAGTGTAACGAGTTGCCGGCCTCGTTGTAACAACCTTTGCCATATTAGCGGGCTCCGCTCTGCTGGCTTCCCTCGAATCAGAGCATCCTGCTTTTCCCAGCAAAACCAGGCTTTAGTGAGATTCCGGCTGTGATTATACAGTGACCAGCCGCATTTTGGTGCTGGTTTCTCTCCTCTCTGCAGCCGGAGGAAAAGTGAGGATTGACCATGGACATCTCCACCAGCAAAGTCCACCTGGAAGACCACGGCTCTTTGCACAAGGGACCTTTTTCTCGTTTTGCTTCAACGTCCTTAAGGGCTGAGCATCATGTTTGGGGACCAAATAAAAAGTCTTGAGACCCTGAGGTCTGAGCCCCAGACCCTTGAGAGTGAGGAGCAAGTCCCTCACGGTGTGGTGGGACAAAGTCACTGCCATGGGGTGGCTTTGGGGCGTCTTTCACCTTGACTTTGCCGTTGAGTTGGCACTCAACTCAATGGTTGGGTTGGGCCATAGTGTGGTGGGATGAAGTCACTGCCATGGGGTGGCCTTGGGGCACCTCTCACCTTGACTTTGCCATTGAGTTGGGACCCAACTCAACGGTTGGATTGGGCCACTGCTCTGCCAGACCCAACCTGGGTCACTTTAACAGGGGAAATCCCACTAATTTTTCTTCCAAGCTTGAATTTTGGTGATAGAAATGATAAAATGGTGCCGCTGGAAGGAGGATTTGGGGCTGGAGGTGGTGGGGCAAGCACGGGGCACTGGGGATGAACCACCCCAGGGCAGCCCCAAGGTTTGGCCATGCTGGAGCATGAAACAACGCTGCCAGAATTTACCCTTTCTTAAGGATTTCAACCATCTCGTTTAACGGGTTTCATTAGGAGCCAGGCCCAGGCTAAACCCAGGCTCTTTCCCAACTCCCCGCATTTCTTTATTGCTTTTCTTTATCTTTATTTCTTTACCGGAGGCATGCGGAGGAGCCGTGTGCCGGCAGCAATCCAAACCTGCTCCCGGCAGCGCCTGGGAAAGATGCGGTTAAACTCCTGCCGGAGTTCAGGGGGATGCAAAGAGGCGGTTGGGTTGCAGGGCGACGGCGGGGAGAAGGAGCCATAAATTCCCGGTATTTACCCAGGGCTGCGTGGCCATGATGCATTTTGCACAGGGCGAGAAGATCGCCTTTGTGCTCCCAGGGCCGCCGGCGCGGGCTCGGCTCCCTCCGGGGCTCTTTGTCAGCTCCGTCTTTCTCTCTTTGCCTTATTTATTTGTTTGGCATCGGAAAGGGCGGCTGGCGGGACTGGGAATTGTCTGGATCTGGTGGCTCCTCGCATCCCCTCCCGCCTCCCCATGGCAGCAGTGTGGGGAGCCAGGTCTCAGGGCGTTGGAGAGGGTTTGGTGTGGGTTTTGGTCCTTTTTGCATCCCTCTCTCCCTATTTCCAAGGTTCAG